AGCTGCATAGCATGCTACTTCAGATGTGTTCTTTTTCCAGTGAAGAAAACAGTTTTCCACTTAAACCGTGTACCCCAATTTTGGGAAAAAGGCACATGTTATATGCAAGAAAATGGGGTATTATTTTGTAACTCAAGTTTAAGTATCCTATGTCAGATTTTAACTAAAGAAAGGTAAAAGTTGAATGGCTGAGTGAGGACAGAACAGCTCACATGACTGGTAAAGGGACACTGGCCATCTATATTTCTAAGAAGGAAGTATTTCGGGCCTCATAGCCAGAGACTACTATATGATGTGGAGGTTCTGAACACAAACAGTAACACAGGGTTTAATAGCACACTTTGAATATTTTTTTTAAAACAGTAAGGCAGAAAATACTGTATTTTTGTATATTTGAGAGCATAATTCGTTATTCTTAAAGATATTCGGTAATCTGTTACAAATTCCATTGGAGTTGTTTTTATGTATTATTTGCTTGTTATGAAAAACAAGTCATCACATGCATTTTAGCAGTATACATCCTACTTTATGAAGGCTGTACAGATAAGTCACTGCTTTGAAAAGTTTCTGAAAAACATTAACTTGAACTCATGGTTTTCAGGTTTTATCACGCAGCTGCTTTGGCTACCAAATTTTTGTTAAAAAGTTCAGGATGTAGCTATTCTGTCTTCATCATCTCTTTCATGACTATCTTGATGAAGCTTTTCAGTCTGTTTCTTTTATTGTATTTTTGTCAGTGTTAATTCTAGATTTAAATTCGTCTTATACTGTTCTTCCTTTATGATTATCCTATTCTTTATCTCTTCTCCACAGCCTTCCTTCAGTCCTCTGCAACCACACTTTTACTCTCATTCTGCTTCCTTTAAGTCTTGCCTCTGTCTCCTCTCCCTGCTCCACTTCCATTCCTAAACTAAACTCACCTATACAGTCCTATAGCCTCATGTCACAATTCTTCTCATACTGTTCCCAGAGCTCCTAGTCAATTTATGACTGCATCAACTTCCAACAGCATCCAATTAATAAGTGTCTGGGCAGGATTTCCAAATTTGGAGTGTTTCTCCTGTGCAAAAATACTGTTCAAAATCCCAATAAAGTCAACAGACAGTCAGTGAATCAGACCTAAAGGGTATAATGCCAGCTTTACCTTCTCACATCTCACAGTAAAAAGGATTAGATTAGCACAAGATTTCATTTTCCTCTCCAGGTAGAGAATATGGGAACTGTCTCCTGGCCCAGTGCTCCCTGCCTGCCCTAAACTAGCATGCAGGGGGAGCATGGAACTTCCACTGGGTGGCAGCAGGGACCCATTTCAGGGCTCCCAGGGTCTGAGAGCAAATTTTCTCCCTAATCCTCACATACGTAGACAAGCACCTACCCCAAAACCCTTACTTTGCAGTAGTTTACTGCACAGTAGATCCAGGCTGAAGTAAATGCCCTTCCTAATGCTCATTCGATGAAGATGCCTTCTCTGAATCTCAATCCACCAGAAACTTGGCTTGATTAACATGACCCAAGGTTTAGTTGATAATAGCACCTTTTGAAACCAAATTACATTGTTGGCTATAGGATTTGCTATGAATGTTCTTGCACACGCATGCAATGGTCAATATAAACCATTGTACTTTAAGCCCTTGTGATTTATTTCTTACTCAGCCAAGAAGGTCTGTTAAACAGCTTCTTTATATCTATTAACCCATGAATTATCCTCTATTAAATTCAGCTCACAATTTGAAATGCATTAATATATTTGGTAAAATGAATCTTATTTAAGAACCACTACAGTAAATTGTGAAATTTATGTTCTGAAATGCTTTTGAATTAATGAATTTATGTTGTTGTTAGTGTATTATAGAACTACTGTCATATAAGGCCAACATAGAGAAGAACCCACATTTCTAGCTTAGCAAAGTGAAGATACGGGGAGGATAGTTCAAAATTGGATTCTGCTGATTGACTGCAAGAGTTTGTATTATTCAGTAAACACTATAGGCTATAATGCTTCTTTAGACTGCATAATGAAATATGAAGTAACTGTAATGATGAAAGGGAAAATTTAAGTTTCTTGTCTTAGAAAATATTTAAGGGATCAAGTACAGCTAAATGAATGTGAAATTAATGATTTCTGCTTAGTTTGATAACATCCTTCTAATGACAGGACAGTCTAATCTGTCTGCAACTCGGAAACCTGTTTGCCAAAATCTAACTAAAATAGAATTAAATACCTTGCTAGTTTGTATCATTGAGACACCTTTGCAAAGTAAACAAATGTGTTTGTTCGTTTCCACTTTAGGAAAAATAAAGAAATAAAAGGAAAAGCAGACAACCAATACCTGCACAATCTCTGCTTGGTATCTTTCCACATTTCACAACTTTCCATTTTCTGCCTGTTGATTTGTATGCTACTGAGACATCTTAGTGCTGATGCTACTTCAGATAATGACCCTCTGTATTAATCTTGTCCCCCATGGCTAGGAACAAATAGCATTAGAGACAAAGGCTGTGCAGGAACCAGAATGTCGATCTCACTGAAAAGAAATCATTTCCAAACAAGCTGTCTCTCCAAATAAGAACAAAATGTTGGACCTGTGACACGGTCTGTGGGAAGAATGCTTAAAATATCATTTTGATTCTCCTGAAATGGATTTTTTTTGAAAATTTCCAACCTGAGTATCCCTATCTGTCTGGCTGCCTTTATTCTGCTTTATTCTATATAGAGCTAGGGCCCTATGACAGCTGCATTATGCCTCTATCAATCTAAAACATTGCAGAAATCCTACTGGAATATTTTGCACCATTACCTTATAATACTGACATTTTAAATAAGGGACAAACTAATCTTTTAAGTAGGGAAGTATGCACAATATAGGGAAAAATTTCTGGCAACAGCAGAAGTATAGTTCCTTCCTCAGAGTATAATTCAGTAAGCAATTGCCCAGTCTTTATATTCATTTTCTTACAACCAGAACTGCCACAGAATCTACCTAGAGAGAAAGAACAGTTGGCCCCTTTATGACACTCATCATTCCCAGGATGCCAGGTGGGAAACTGGTACATTTCATGTTGTTGCAAGTGCCCTTTCAATCAACTGAAAGAACAGAATGTTTTTCCTCAAGGACTTCCCTTGACTACAAGTTAAATTTTGAAGAAGAGTAAATAATTTTTTCTGCCTGTGACATATTTTTCATTTGATTAGCAAGATCAATCATTATTTCTCATCTGTCAACATTTGCAATGTTGCCTACCAATTTGACTGCCTTTTTGCTTTTCCAGTTATGATGTTACATAATTCAAAAATACATAATTATTTGTAAGTGTCATTTACCACAAATTTCTACAATATGTTATGGGTTGCTTTGTGTGTGCTGTCCTGACTTACAGCTTTGCTTTTGCAGCATTGCTAAGAGTGGAATCTTCATTTGTATGATGTAGTGAATAACTTAAATGGCCTGGAAGCTCAGCTAACTTTAGTTAAAAATCTATTTATATAATAATAATCTGAACAAAATATTACACTGAAAAAATATCCTATCTAGGACAGGGGATATTTTGTTTGGTTTAATATTTTCACTGAAAATTGATTCCTCTGTTGGCTCTTGACCAGTAAGGAAGCATCAGCCATTAGGTTTCATCTTCACAGAGAAGAGGTAAAAATTCAGGCCTAGCCTGTAATCCAAAACTCATTACATTAGGGTTGTTGGTTATAGCCATGTTAGTCTAAGGACCTGGACAGGCAAGGTTATTTGGGTGAATGTGATATCTTTTATTAGATCAGCTGAATAATTGGAAAAAATTGTTCTTTGCAAGCTTTTGGGCACAAACACCCTTCTTTAGGCATATTGAATGTCACAATTCACCAGCAGACTCTTGATATGCCCGAAGAAGGGTGTTTGTGTCTGAACGCTTGTAAAGAACACTTTTTCCAACTATTTAGTTTGTCTAATAAAAGATATCACATCTACCCAAAGAATCTTGTCTGCCTAAAAGTTCATTACAGTCAGTTGCATCCCTTTTGTTGATTGTAATGTGCTTTGGCTCAAACCCATAATGTACATTTAGTATTTTAAAAGCATTTAAAATAGTTTGGTTGAATCCTCACTGAATTGTAAGGGTATCTCTTTACTGCTATTGCAAAACTGACTGCAGTGTAATGCAGATACCCAAGCTAGTTCTAACTTGGGTACTAGTAGCAGTTTAGTTTTAGCATGATAATTTAGCTACCAGTGAGCTCTTTGCTGCTGGAGTTATACAGCTATGGGTATTCAAGCTGGTTTATTTAAAATAAGCTCAGGTATCCTTAAACTACACTACAGTAGTTACTTTAGTGACTACAGTGTATATATATATATATCTTAGGAAATACTGGGCTGCTAATTAAAAAATGCAGCTCCTTGTCCATTAGGTAAATTGCCTCTCTTTCTCTTGCATCCTTATTTACTAGTAGAAGCATATGCATTTCATGAGGAATTGTGTTAGCATGAGCTGTGGTACTGATAGGTAATGTGAGACTGGGATGTCATTAACTATATGATTCTCTGTTTGGAATCAAATGGGAAATGCATGCGTGCACACACACACGTTAGGATTTGTGAAAGGAACTGGTAAGTCCAAGAGCAATCATATCATCACACTCCTACAATCAGGTCACAATTTCAGCTTTGCATGTGTTGAAAATGTACTTCATTTTGCAGGTACAAGGTTTCTTACAATAAGCAAAACTCCTTGCACCAGTGTGCAAAGTACCCAGAAGCCCAGCTTAATTGGTTCCCTGCATGACAATTATGACAACAAAATTATAAATCATACTTCCTCCTTTGCCATTCTTACGTCTGAGAAAAATACTGCTTTGGAACAGATTTTTCAACATGTGCTTATTGGTTAAATAATATTTCAGATAAATGGGGTAATAAAGATGCCTATCCAGCCATGAAATAAATATGACTATTAACGTTTTATTTGCTGGAATGAGAACTGAGAACATTTTATTTTCCAGGTATCAACAGTTCTAGAATTTGGCCGCATCATAATTTATACTACCAGCCTTCGTGTGGTTAGAACCACTTTTGAAAGATGTGAACTGGTAAGGAAGATCTTCCAAAATCACAGAGTGAAGTTTGAAGAGAAAAATATTGCTCTGAACAGTGATTATGGAAAAGAACTAGATGAAAGGTGCAGGAGGGTATGTGAAGTTCCATCACTACCTGTTGTGTTTATTGATGGCCATTATCTTGGGGTAAGTACAGCAGGAATGCTACTCTGCAATTTATAGGTGTAGCTGTTAACCCATAAGAATGAAAAATTGTTATTGTTTGTTGTTTTTATTACCAGAGTACCTAAGGGGAGCAATCAGAAACTGAGGCCCATCATGCTAGGTGCTATCCAGATATTCAGTGAAAGGAAAGTCCCTGTCTTAGGGAACTCACAGGCTAGATTATTACCTTATGCAATACATGGATGAAATAAAGGAGGGAAACTGGTGGGTGAGATGCAGCAACAAGAGTTATTTTCAGTCTCTGAAGAAATAGTTCATATTTACATGTCTAGGCACAAGAATTCAGAGAAATGGGCATTTTCTCATACCAGGAAAGTTAATCCATGTGCCTTGGCAGGAAACAGTCAAAATGAAACTGGCAATTGAAACTTTTGTATTTCAGCATATCTGCACATGAAATTGTTCTATTTGTTTGCTTCTCAATTTCTTCTACAGGTATGCACTCTTACATTTTCTACACTATGGGTGCATCTACACACGACTCTGTGTTGCAGTAGCATCCATGGGTGTCATCTACACATGACTAGTAGCTACTTTGCTGTAGAGGTGCACTCCCCCTTTATAGTGTGCTGCTACAGCAAAATAGCTGCTAAAATAACCATGCACTATGTGTATGGCATGATATGGGCAGTTACTGAGCCATGTTTTCATAATAAAGGAAGTACTAAAGCACAGTGAAGTAACAACATCACTTTAGGGCAATGTGTAGACATGCCTTATGCTTATATACTTAATTCCCTTTGTTGATGCACACGTTTTTGCCTTTTAATTGTAGAGGGTTGCCAGCTGTATGTAAATTTACAGGCAGACCATCAAAAAACAGGCTAAAAGCACCTGTCTGTAAAGTCCATAAAAAATTAAACAGTCTGTAAAAAAAAAAAAAAAAAAAAAAAAAACCCACTGGGAGCTTGATTGAAGATTGCTTGTGAGAAAGAAGCTTGAGGTAAGAATTTAGGTTAGGGACAGATATTCAAAAACCCTGAGCCTATATTGATTCAACCTTTGCAGGTAAGTCTAATCTGGCTAGGATGAACCAGTTTGTATCCAGACAGACATTTTCTCTGGACTGAGGAAATGCAGGTATATGCCTGCAGTGGCTCAGGTCAGAAGTTGAGGGACACTAGAGCAGCCCTTCCTTCCCTTCAACAGTACTGAGCCCCCAGCAGGACGCTCTGATTAGGGAGGTCTGCTGGCACCGTTCCAGGCTTTTCCCTGATGGCTGCTCAAGAGGTGGGAATGCTGCCAGACCCCAGCCTCCTGCCAGCACTCTGAGGCAAGGAGGGGGAGGAGGAGTGGAGTGAATGCATCTGTTGATACTACAGAACTTTTCAATCTCCCTCTCCCTGCCTCTTTATACTGTCTGCAGCAAACTGACAGGCAAGCAAGCCAGCAGAGAGCTGATAACCAGGGATCCTGTTTTTTTCTGACTTATTAAAATCTCCAATTTTGGGTTAGAAAAGGTAACCTCAAATCCACATTGCCCCATGTTTTAAATGAAACAACACTATACATGCACACACATGCGCACACACACACACACACACATACATATGTGTGTGTATACATATGTGTGTATGTATGTGTGTATAGTGATGTTTCATTTTAATCATGGAAAAATGTAGAGTTGGAGTTACTTTTTGTTAACTGAAAATTGGGGATTTTTTTAAATCAGAGAAAACCAGGATCCCTGCTGATAACAGTGTTTATCACCTCATCAACAAAACAATAGCCTCTCTCCATTAGGTCAAACTTTTCTTAAACAGCTTACCAGCTGATCTGTTGATTAGCTCCAAAAAGCTCTAAGTGGTCACTGTTCTGTCTGCCTGTCCCAGTGAAATTGGGGGCACACGCACACGCACACCTCTGGGCATTAGCTACCATACCACATGCCTAGGGTCCATGGGGCTGGGGTCTGTGCTGTAGGAGATGGGAGGGAGGGAGATGGGATTCCTACTTGGGCAGCGAGGAGTGAGAGGGGGAGGGGAGGGCAGGAGGAAACCAGGCAGACCCTGCTGTGCCTACAGTCTCTGCTGGAGCTTCAGTGAGAGAGCAGAGGAAGGGTCAGCTTTGTTGTGGAGCAGAGAGCCCAGCCCAGAGAGCATGCTGGGATGTTGGGGGAATCTGGTTTATTTTAAACCAGCAAGGGGTCTGGTACAGCCATTGCATTAATTAGTTTGACCCAAATCGGTTAAGTCTGATACTACATTCAGCCAGGTTTATCTCAAACTGGTTTCAGCCATTTTCAAACTTGTTTATGTGCACTGAACATCTGTTCTGCTACAGGTTTAAACAAGTTTCTGAACACTTAAACCAGTTTATGTGTAGTGTCTGTCCCTAGCCTTAAGGACAGACAGAGCAAACCAGCACTACTTGGTCTCTGAGCAGGAGAGCAGCACCCTGCATGGAGCATTCTCTCAGGGCTTTCTAGCTCACAAGAGCCTCTGTATCTCCCCCCACCCCAGTTATGTGCTGCTGCTGCATCTGGTTACCTACATATAACACTGCTGGGTTGCAGGTAGGCAGACAGTAGCCCTTCTTTGGGGATCTGTTCTGGGACCAGGGTTTGGGAATCGCAAGGGTAAGACAGAGGGAGACAGCACACCACAGGGTTCATTTGGGGGATATTAGGATGTAGAGGTGAGTAGGCAGCCCCTGGGATGGAGGTAACATGGTGTAAAACCATTGCTGCAGTCAAGCAGGATTGCCAATCTAAGAAAAATTATTTTACTGATAATCTATAAGCTTTTTACTGACAACTAAGCTTTTTTACCATGAATTTGAATGCAGGCTTTGTCCAGGGCCTGGTAGAAGGGTAAAATACACATCAGCAAAGAGTTTGGTTGTAAGTAAAATGTTGCAGATTGCAGTACCAATATTTGTCTTGTGTTAGCAACTCTGATAATCATGTATAAATGTACCTAAGTGAAAAACACCAGTGCTCTTTTTATGTTGAGATATAAAGTACAAATGAAAAACTGTGATTAAAGCTTGAATTCTGGCATGTTGAGGTAAAAAGTTGGGGCTCAGCTAGTCATACAACTTTCTTGCAGAAACAAGAACTATAAAGATAGGTGATTTAGAAAGAAAATATTTCTAAAAGATTTCTGAAAGCTTGTATGTTATGCATGCATTTTAATGATTCAGGAACTAGTAACAGTCACTAGAAGTGAGGTAGGGAGTACACAGGCAAGCTGTATTTCAGCACATTAGGGATATTTTAGGTATGTTGCTAAATGCATTGGTTTTTATTAAAGAGGTGAGCAATGACAATAAAGAAGTAGATAAAGTGGAAGGTCTTGAGTTTGGATCTGAACTACTAATGAAAAAACCCAACAAATTGATATTTGCATTTTTTAGACTGTTTGCATCATACAAGATGGCTTTCTCTGAATGTTCTAACAAGTAAGGGCACCTATATTTGTGTAACAAGGATGCTCTGATGCACTAGAATTACAGCATGTTGGAGCAGACTTGATTAATCAAGTCTTCCAGGTCTGCCCGCCAAAACAGTAAATCTTAAATTCTTAAATTATTTTTTTCAGAATAAGAGCATAGGACTTATGATACTCGTTCAGACCAAGGGTCCATCCAGCCCAGTAGCCTTTCTCTAACAGTGGCATATTTTAGAGCAGTGGTGGGCAACTTTTGGCACAAGTGCCATAAATGGTACAGGATAACTGTTTGTGGCACACAGCATATCAGGGAGGGACAGGCAGCACAGAAGCAGATAGGGCAGGAAGCAGAGGGCAGAGCAGGAGATCAGGAAGGAGCAAAGGGCAGGAAGCTGAAAGCAGAGTAGGAGATCAGGCAGAGAGTGTAGAGAAAGGAGCAGAAATCCAAGCAGCAGAATCAGCAAAGGAAGGGGATTGGAGCTAATTTTGCAACACTGGACAAAGAGTTTGGCCCCAACTATTTTAAAGAAGGAGTGTAAGAAACTAGGTAGAGTGATCTATCCCACATCATATCCTCCTAGACTAGGGAGAATCTTTACACACAAACCAGTTAAAGTGATCAGAAACTTTTAAACCTGTAACAAAACAGATGTTCAGTGCACATAAACCAGTTTGAAAATGGCTGAAACCAGTTTGAGATGAGCCTGGCTGAATGTAGTATCAGACTTAACTGATTAGGGTCAAACCAGTTTATGTGACATCTGTCCCAGACCCATTGCTGGTTTAAGATGAACCAGACTCCCCCAGCATCCTGGCATGCTCTCTGGGCTGGGCAGGGCTCTCTGCTCCACAGCAGAGCTGGCCCCTCCCCTCTGCTCCCACTCGGAAGCTCCAGCAGAGACTGCAGGCACAGCAATGTCTGCCTGGCTCCCTCCTGCCCCCCAACTTCTTACTGCTCAATCAGGAATCCCGGCCCCCAACTCCCAAAGCACAGACCCCAGTCCCCTGACCCATAGGCATGTGGTATGCTAGCTAATGCTGAGAAGTGTCTGTGTGTGTCTCTCTCCAATTTCACTGGGACAGGCAGACAGGATGGTGACTGCTTAGGGCTGTTTGGAATTAATCAACAGGTCATCCAGTAAGCTGTTTAAGAAGAGTTTGAAGTAATGGAGAGAGCCTATCGTTTTGCTGATGAGGTGATAATCACTGTTATTAGTCTCCTGCTGGCTTGCTTGCTGTCAGTTTTCTGCAGACCGTATAAAGAAGCAGGGAGAGGGAGATTGAAATGCTCCATATCATCAATAGATGCATGCACTGCACCCCACCCCCCACCCTTGCTTCAGAATGCTAGCAGGGGGCTGGGGGCTGGCAACACTCCTACCCCTTGAGCAACCAGTGGAGAAAAGTCTATGATGGTGCAGGCGGACCTCCCTAATCAGAGCATCCTGCTGGGGCCTGGCCATGCTCCCCCTCAGCTCAGCACTGTGGAAGGGAAGGCAGGGCTGCTCTAGCACCCCCTTGCTTGTAACCTGAGCTGCTGCAGGCATGTGCCTGAATTTCCTCAGTCCA